CCCGCGCCCCGCCGCCGCACGCCGGCCCGGCCCGATGGGCCCGCTTTGATCGCGGCCCCGACGCCCTCGCTCTCCTTACCCGCCAGGGTGTCCAGTCTGCGTCCTTCGAGGGTCTCACCGAGGTCCGACGAGGGGAAGGGGGAGGCTGGGGTTGGAGGGGTGGCTACAAACGCCACGGGACTGGGAAAGCCGAAGCTGCGGACGGACAAACCGCCAAAGCACTTTCTCCGCTTTACCGAGAGGGTGAGAGCAAGCGAGAAAAAGAAGCAAGATGGCGGCAAGCCAGCCCCTACGTACTACGTCATGACGCTACGTACGTAAAGCAAATCTCTGCAGGACCACCCTCCGGCGCAGAGGCGGCCGGGTCACGTGAGGCCTCGGCGGCGGCGCGAGCCTGAGAGACGGCCGAACAGTGCCTCCTACTGGAAAGAAAGGGTTCCTGCAAGCCGAGTTACCGTTGCAGGACAAAGCTTTAATTTGGGACACCTCGGGGACTCTGGAACAGACCACATTACAAACAGGGGTGCCACAGTAAAATGAGAAGAGCGTATCTGCTGGGTGGGTATGTAAACGCGTTCAGCAGTTTGGCAAAATATTCTCAGTGAGGAGGGGCCAAGCTGAGAAGGTGTGTAGGGAGATTGAGCAGATTCAAATTATCGCAGAGAGAGAAAGGCAGAAAGTAACCCTAGTGGGGACGGAGTAGGACTGCGTGCTTTGCAGGCAGCACCGTATTATGGGTGTAGGATAAACCATTTTATTTGTATCATTTACCTGGGAGTGGTCAGCTCTTTGGTGCTGCTAGCTACACAGAAGATGGGCAGTAAGATCCATTCATGCTGGGCTTTACCAAATGTTGTGCGGGAGATGAGGGTATCTGGAATTGAGGGGCTATAATGATAGTATCTGGGAGCTGGTAGAGTGTTTGTTTACCCCGTGCACGGCCTTGGGTTCAATCCCCAGGACAAAAAAAAAAAAAAAGTATCCGAATATATGGTAGATGTCTAGTATTTTTATCTACTTCTTGAACTATCTATGGTATATTCTATTTTGTGGGGGGATACCAGGAATCAAACTCAGGACCTTGTACTTGTCAGGTGCTTGTGCCACTGAGCTAGATCCCCAACCCCATCTATGGGATATTCTAAATCTGAAGGTTCCTTGCCATCTACCATGGTCTGAGTTATCTTCCCCATTAGTAGTTTGTATATGTTCAGAGAATTGTCCTTTCAACAATGATAGAATGAGAGAAATAGGAAAGGGGAATGGCAAGGGTGGAAGGGAAAAGAAAAAAATGAGGAAAACAAGGATAAAATGGGAACAAATCTCTGTAAATAAGGAGGGGAAGAAGGGTTCAAGAGAAAGGAGGGAAATCTAGGAGTGGGGAAAGAGGAACTAAGATATATCATGTACAGGTACAAATTCCTTGTGATGAATATCTAAATTGTACCAATAAGCTTAATTTTACTAAAGGATAAGAGAAATAATAAAGAGAAATAAATCACAGATACCATCCTTCAAACTACTATTAGTAATCACTTGTTTGGGGTTTTTCGGGACGCGCGCGCATGTGTGTGTGTGTGTGTGTGTGTGTGTGTCCCTGTGCTGGAGAACAAACCCAGGGCCTTGCACATGCTAAGCAGCTGTTCTGCCTCTGAACCCTACTCTATGCCCTGCTCCTTACTGTTCCTTTAAATGGAAAAGCTTGGCTGATGGATGTGTGAGCATTGCCAGGGAAAGACTTGCTGGCTGTTCCCGAGAGGATGCAGAACCAGTCCTTTGGTGAATTTCCCATAACCCTTTAGGATCTAGTCTAGTAAATCCTGTTTTTAAAATATCTTTTATACACAACATAGAACACTTCAGCAATTACATGAGCTTATGTTAGCCTAGCTCAAGAAACTAACCTACAAAAATAAAATTACTAATGTATTAATTTCTAAGAACTGTATATGTGCACCTGAGTACTTGTAACTGCAAACTCAGTGCATTTTCTATGTAGTTGTACCCACTGAGGAAACTAGAGACAGCACCACAGAAGGTGCTTGATAAACATGGCTCTGGAACAAGTAGAGTTATATGGATATACTTTTCTTGATTCTTTTATTTTTATAACAGGATGATTTTGTCCTGAGGTAGAAATAGGTACTCAATTTCCAGTGTTCTACACTGATCTCCAGTACAATGGGGGCACCCTGCTACTCTTGATTTAGGCTTCTTTTCTCCTTGACAGCACTTGGATGGCCAGCAGCCCTGAACTGTCCCTGCATGTGCTGTCTCAGTTTCCATGGCTACCTCTTAGCAATGTTCTTTCAATAAAAGTCAAGGTACAGTTAAGTCAGGGCAGTTTGTATCTCAAAACTGACTTCCTTTATTTCTACTCTTCTCTGTTGTATGTGCTCTTAAAGTTTAACTCTCAGAGAACAGGCTATTTTTACCTTATTTCCAATTTCTTGGAGGAAAATCTGACTGAAATTTCCTTGAATTGATGCAATGTCCAAAGGCAAATCATACTTTTTAAATTTTTACTTTTCTTACATTAACATCTCATCAGTGTAGATAAGTTTGTCATAAAAAATACTTTTATGACAGACTAAATGAAAATTTATCATTTAATTTCTAATATGATTTCTCCTAATAATTTTAGGGTACAGTCAATTGGTGGTGTGAAATCAGGAAAACTAGTTTTTTGCTGAAAAAATTAATTCTCTAAATAACATGCCCTTGTTTGCTAATGGTTTTATTTTCTACTTTCTCATTGAGATTGATTCTATAAGACTTAAGGCATTGAAGATTTATGGAATATAGATTTACAGTAAAAGAATTAGTGAATGTATCATATTTTACTAGTAACAATGATTCTTAAATGTTTATATACACATGACAATTTTGGTTTCTTTTTACTAATGATCCAGCAAATCATATTCAGTAAAACTGAAACATTTGCAAATAAAGATAAAAACAATATTTCAGCACTTCAAAAAAATTGCTTCTTTCCAACTTATAAGAAGTTATATATTAAATATAATGTATTTATTATATGTAAAATTGTATATTATATGGAAAGTAAAATGAATTTTCACTTGCCAATCTATTGATACCTGGATCAACAAACTTTATGATTGAATAAAGGGTGTATGTTGGCTAAAAGTGTTATTCACTTGTGATATTATAAGTTAATAAAGTTCAAATTAACTGCGATCTACTCTCCACCCAAAATTGTTCCAGAATTTTCTTGACGGAGAGTAGGAAGTTATTGGAGCTGTGGGGTCCCAACTTGAGGTGATATAAATGTTGTTAGTGAGCAGAGCACGTTGTCAGTGATATTTAGTCACTCCAGGAGCTCAAGGAAGAAGGAAGGGAGAGAGGGAAAGATGGAGAAAAACTTGTTTGATTCACAGCCTTCCCTAGCTCTGAGTTCACCTGAGTCAGTAAGTGAGTAATGGTACAAGACACAGATCAGGAAAGAAAGATCGCAAGGGCTGTGGTGGGACAGGGTGTGGGGCAGCAACTGCAGAAGAGGAAAAGATTATAGAGGACAGTAGCCAGGTAGTCAATGGAAATACAGAAAAGGTGATTTCTTAATTTTTTTAGGCCAGGAAATAGAAGCTTGAGATAATACTGATTGATATAACAACAGTAATCAGTAATTCCAAAATTGCAACTCTCAACGCTACTTTTAGTTCTTCTCAAAGTATAGGACACTTTTTATTTGATGCCTAATCAACTGTGCATACAATGTAAAAATGAAGCTATCTTGTTTCAAATTTTTTATTGCTTCACAATAATGAAGAGAAGGAAGGCCAGTAGTACATTTTTATTAACCTTGGAACTGGGTATTTTGGAAAAGGTCTACTAGAAGAAAGAATTTCTTATATTAAAAAGTAATCTCATGCCTTGTTCAGTTTTGTTTGTTTGTTTCTTTATATTCTCCATTCTTAGTTCTGCTGGGGTTAATTAAATAGTTACTTCAGAAATATTTCTTTGAGTTTCTAAGAGGTGCAGTGAGATAATTGCTTCAAATGGGAATTAGTATAATACTCTATGGGGTGGGCCATGCTGAGCTTCATGGGGCACCTAGTCTTGGTAGAAAGGAGTGAAAGAATAGTGACTGAAAGAAAATTAAGGAAAACCTTCTCAAGTATGTAACAGTCTGGGAAAATTGCAGTAAAATGGAATTCATATTTCAGTATTCAGTAATACATGTATGAAATTCTTAATTGCAAAGTTTCAATCACTGTAATGATTAACCACATAATACCACCTGTGTAGGCTGTGTGTGCTCAACTTCAAGAAGGTGCTGGCAGAGTGACTGACCATTCCAGTCTTCATGGACCTTCCCAGTTTTAACCCTGAAAGTCCATGACCTGGGAAACTTCTCAGGGCAGAGCAAACAGGACAGTTGGTGATCCGATGGTGGCTGGAATACAGTGGAGACATGAACTGTGGTCTCGAGCTTCTCTCTTCCTAAAATCTGATTTTGGCCTCTGCTATTTGCCTAAGAAGATACTTTTGCTATAAGCCACTAATACAAAGGAAGTCGCTGCTACCAGAGAAGATCATATTTATCCTGAGGAGGGAGCCGGGCTTCAGGGATCTGAGAAATTAGGCTTGAGCAGCTCCCTGGCAATAATTAGACACAGCACGGCTGTCATTTGCTCTTGGCTGTACTTGCTGCATTGACTTCTTCTATCTTGAAATAGC